TCAGGTGAGCTACTGCCGTGATACTTTGATCCTTTGTCCTCCAGGCTGCCTGGTGGGGTTTCTTTGTACCAGCCGACCACGTTTGCTACTGACACGCCCGCAATACGTTTTCCTATAGGCGAGTGACTCTGCGCACCTCCGCAGATAGGACACGAGGCGGCTCCGCACTGCTATTTCTTTGTGCATCATTTTCGGTCCAGTGCAAAGCAGTCCGCGGCGTGCTCCGGACGTCCAGTGCTCGAATCGCAATTTTAGCTATATTACACACCACGCAGGGGCTTGAAAACAAAGCTGCTCGGCTGCCGCAAGGCTGCGGCGTCGCAGCTCGTGTGAGACGTCGGTTCCACGGCCTTCCCACAAGACCGTCCTCTAAGCGCCTCCAAAAGTACGCCGATATGCGCACAAACGAGGTGAGCAATGCCACATCCCCTCCCCCGATTTTTCTCTGACGCTATTTGTTGCCTAGAACGACTCTGTTACCACGCCGCCTCACATACGCCACGATATGGGACGTAGATCCCGCGAGCCGCCCGCTATTTCCACCTGTACAGCCGATGCACGCCTCTCTGAGCGGCCCCAGGAATACCGCGGCCCAACGAGAAGTACGCCTTCCGGAACGGTACGTGGATTTCCACACTAACTCCGGCACGCTATCTGTTGTGGAGCGCGGCCGCTGAGATGTCTGGTTATGAACTACATCTGCCGAGGAGTTTCCTCCCGGATGGTATGCTTTAGCTTCTCGCTTTCTCGCCGCAGCCGAGCTCTATCCACTTATCGCACACAGCGCATTTTCAGCGCCGCCACCCTGCCCGCGCACAGCTCGATACGGCACAGGCTTATGACCCGTCCCGCCTGCGCTGGACGAGGCCCGGACCGCTAGTCGCCTCAGCGCGTCAGACCAGGAGATCCTGCTCCTGCTCGAGGATGTCGAGATGTACGACGACGACTGGTCGGCCATCGAAGAGCACGTCGGCACTCGCTCCGCGCAGCAGCGCATCCGCAAGTTCCTCCAGCTGCCTATCGAGGATCCTTATGTTTCGGCGGAGGGCGACCTCGGCCCCCTTCGCTACGCACGCGTGCCGCTCGAGCAGGCGGACAACCCAGTTATGAGCTTGGTTGCGTTCCTTGCGGGCGTCATCAGCCCCGGCGTCGCAGCGGAGGCCGCGAAGACGGCCCTACACCAACTCACGGACGGCGACACGAAGGTGGCGCCTGAAGAGGACCAGAAGGAGGCGATCACGGAGGAAAGCAAGCCCGTGGAGGGTACGCCCGCAGAGAGCGAGGAGAAGAAAGACGAAGAGAAGATGGAAGAGGACAAGCCGAAGGAAGAGGGCGCGACCGCGCAGGACGACATGCAGGTCGACGCGGAATCGCAGGCGCAGCGCGCGGTCAAGGCGATCCCGCACTCGAAGGTTGTCCGCGCGGCGGACCTCGCACTCAAATCCGCGTCGAAGGCAGCCGGCGCGCTCGCGGACGCGGAGGACCTCCAGATCCGCTCGACGCTCGCGTCGCTCATCAAGCTCACGCTCACGAAGCTCGAACTTAAGACGGCGCAGTTCGAGGAGATCGAGGAACTCCTCGAGGACGAGCGCAAGAGCCTCGAGAGCGCGCGGATGGCGCTCGTGAACGAACACATCAACCTGAGGCGGCTGCTCGACAATGTCAAGAGCGAGCTCGCGAAGCACGGCGCGACGCCCAATCCTGGTCTCGCGAATGCCGTTGCGCAAGCTCAAACTGGTCTAGGCGCGAGCGGGCAGGGTACGAAGGTGAACGAGGTGCAGGGCGGGGCTCCTACCGAGGGCGACCAGGGCCCGGTGAGTGGCGGGAACATCGCGCAGTTGAGCTAGTCGTGTGCGGACCAATCTCTGTTTTCCTTCGTCCTTTCGCTGTTTGTTAATGCTTCGTACCTACGTTTCGTGTGTATCCTGCTCCTGAGCCTATACATTATTGTGTTGTATTCTTGCCCATCCTGACCGCGCTGCGGCCTCGGACGCCCTCTGCCCCGCCCGCAGACGTGTGGCGTCGCCGATGAGGACGCGCGCGCAGCGCGTCGAGGGCGAGCGAGGCTGAATCGAAGCGGCCTGCCAGGCGGCCCCAAACTCGTCGGCCGCTCATTGGCTGCACACAGGCGCCCACGCGCCGCGCGGGCGCTCTCTCGACCTGCGATCCGCCTTTCTCTCTCTTGCTCGACCTTCGTCCTTGGCCAACTCGAGGCGACTTCGCTGCTCGCGGTCACCATCCCCGGCCGTCCTCTTTGCACGCCCTCGCCGTGCTCCCGCTCTGTGTAGGTGCCCTTTCCCGCGCCCCAGCTCTCCTGTGATTCGCGTGCTCACCCTCTACGTACACCATCGATGCCAGTGCACGAGTAGTCGTACTTTGGCCGCGAAAGCGCGAACCGGGAGAGGCACAGCTCGCGTACTCGATGTCCCGATCTCGCGAAACGTTTCTTTCTTGAAAACGGCCGCTTTCGACGTTGCACACAACGAGCAAGACAGCACAGACGGCCGTACTGACTTCATTCATGCGCGCACCCATCGTGCCGCATGAACGCCGCGCGCCGTGTTACAGAACCGCTTAGTCGACGTCTATGTCGAGGTCGGCCACACAGTCTTACAGCAAGACTTGTTCAATAATGCACAACGTCTATTTCACGCTACGACGACTACATGGTGAGTACTAATCTACGCTACACGGCTCCGTAACAACAGCTAATGTTCGTGATTAGTGCTCGTATGGTTGGTAGCTCGACTCGCTACCTGGCCTCTCGTTCGCGCGATTCTACTTCTCCGTGCGCCGTGCGAGCTACCTGTGCACGCGTGTCGGCGGACTGGGCGCGGGAATCGACAACAATGCGTGTGCATCACGGATTGCGTGAGTCCGCGCGGTCCTGGTGCAAGAAATAGGTCAGTAATGCGTCCTGAACGACGAGTAGAACAATACTTACCCATTTTACACCGCCCACAGATGGCCCGGGTCCGCGTTGACGGTGGGTTCTCCCGTCCGGCGTGCCGTACATTTCGTGAGGTAGTCGTACTTTGGCTGCGAAAGCGCGAGCAGGGAGAAGGGTACCTCGCGTACTCGATGTCCCCATCTCGCGGAACATGTCCCCTCGAACTCGGCCGCTTTCGACGTTGCGCACGACCAGCAGACGGCCATACTCACCTAGCTCGTGCGCCGCCCATTGCGATGCCATGAACGCCTCGCACCGTGTTACAGAACCGCCCAAACGACGTCTATCTCGAGGCTGGCCACGCAGTCTTTCCACCGGACATGTTCGATGATACAGATATTCTATTCCACGCTACGAACATTACATGGTGGGTACTCATCTACACTACACGTATCCGTAACAGCGATTGATGCTTGTGATTAGTGCTCATATGTTTGTAAACTCGACGAGCTCTTCGTGCGAGTCTACGCCTCCGTGCGCGGTGCGAGCCACGTGTGCGTGCGTGTCGGCGGACTGGGCGCGGGAATCGACGACGCCGCGTGTGCGTCGCTGATTTCGCGAGTCCGCGCGGATCTGGAGCACGAAATAGGTCAGTCACACATTCTGAACGACGAGCAGAACCATGCTTACCCAATTGAGCACCTACAGATAGCTGGAGGCGGCGTCGACGCTGGGTTCTCGTATGCGGCATGCCGTACATTTCGCAAGACCCTGTATGAGACGACGACGCGGGCGCGTTTCCACGGCGTCGCATCTGGCATGTGGGTCGATGTACGCGGCCGGGACTCGATCTCGAAGCTGCCTACCGTGCGAGCACAAGCCCCAGCTTCTCGGCGACCTCGAACGTCCGCGCACGCGCGCATATCGACTCTCGCGAGCAGCAGCGGTCTGCACGGGACGCCCTCGTCTTCACGTGCGTCCTGCAACCGCGAGCCTACCTCTGGGCCTTCTGCAGACTTTGCAGAAGGCCAGGACTATACTACGACGTCTACATGGTGAGTACTACTGTGTGCTAACCCTCTCTCCGCCCCGCCGTGCTGATAAACATGGTTAGTGATTGTTTATTTGTCGACTAGCGGGGGCGACTTACCGTTCGTCTGTGCCGCTCTTGAAGCCGTTTGCTACGAGGCAAGTGCGCGAACGGCTTGCTCCCGCATACGGCGGGATGGTGGGCCGGTACGCGTCGTAGAGTTGGGCTCTGCGCGACCCTGGATTCGTGGCATCGCCGGGAGTAGGAAGGAGATCAGCCGTGCGTGCATGGCAACGAGACTAGACTAACTCACGGGCATGTAGGGTTGTCTAGCGGGCCGGAGACGTCGTCGAGGTCGTGTGAGTGAGAAGTTGCGTGCCCGGGGCGCATTGCGGAGATTCGGCGCGCGAGGCGAGCAGAAGCGGGGACCTGTCGACACCGAGATGAGCTGCGGCAAGGGTGAGGACTCGCGACGAACCTCGAGCGCATGGGCGATCCTTATCGGGGAACGCGGGGCCTCACACGAGGCCATCGCCCGTTCTCTGGCGGCGCGAAGTCGGCGGGTCAGGGTCGAGGTGGCAGCCCCGCCTGATGAGACCTACAGAGAAGACGGTAAGCGCTCCCGACCGGTGTGTGTGCGATGATCTCACCGGGATTTGCCAGGCTAGCCTTGTGTCTGGAAGCTCGTCTCGCGAGGAGCTGCATGCGCCGTGCGGCGGGTCGTCGACGACGCGAGCTAATGCGGAACGGCTGTGAATAGCAAGGTCAGTGGAGCTGCACGTCGACGAGGACGAGGACGTACCGGACCATATGGGCAACGACGGTGGCGGGGAAGCGGCCAGTGCGGTGATGAGCGATAGAAGGCCAGGGGCGGACGGCGTCTTGTGGGGAAGGAAAGGGCGGGAGCAAGGGCGAGGGCGAAGAAGGGGAGGGGAGTGCAGAACGGTGAAGTCTTCCTCCTCTTTTTATACATTCCGCCACGCTGACGCACACGCACGGACCCTCTTCGTTCTTGCAGCTAGCGGTCATCTCCGCATCAATCTCACAGGGACGCTAGGCGGAACGGCGCCCGTGTTCGCCGCAGCCGTGTACGGTGCGTCTCGTCCACTTGGCAACTAGTGCGCGGCGGTGCCGTATCGCGCTACGCGCGCTGATATTGCCCCACTTCGACGCCGCTCCCTCAGAGTCTGGCTGCTCCCGCCGTAGGATGCACAAGACAGCCGCGCCGCGCTCGTACTCGGTCAGACATGTCGTACTCGCTCGTGCGTTCAGGCTCGATTCATGGACCACATACACAGCCAGGACGGGCAGACAACGTCGACCTGCTCGAGGATTCGACTCCACACCTCGAGTTCGCAGTTCCGGCCGCCTCCCGTTTGTCTAGATGCACCGGCAGGCCTGGATGCGAAGAGCCGTCTCGATTTGTCCCCCACGACGGGCAGATACGACTGCACCCGTGCAGCGCGCCATTCAATTGCGCAGGAGCCACCGAACACCCGAGCACCGTGCCCACCCCCAAATCGACCTCAGGGCCGGCAACCGCCTAATATCCAGGACGCATCAACGGCCACGACGGAGCACACGACGGCTGAAACGCGCGACGGGCGCGGACGCAATTACGGCGGGCGAACGGCGCGCGACGCGGAGACTTGGGGACCAGACAAGCGGATGCGAACTTGGTGGGGTGTATCTCCGCGGCGCGGTGAGTGGGTTTCGTAAATTCGTTGTGTGCGAGATCGGCGGCTCGCGTATCTGTCGTATCGGTGGAAGCCCGCGGCGCAGATGTGAGTTCGGAGATTGTGCGACTGCGCAGGTTGCTGGGCCGTCTGATGCGGCGTGTGAGTCGTTCATGCGGGACTTGGTTCGCGAGGAGGTGCGCAGAGGCTAGCGTTAGGTCTCGAGAGGGACGACATGGCCGATGGCTCGCATAGCTATGTTCATGAGGAGGTGGAATGTGTGCGCCTGAGAGACACGGGAGCAGGGAGAGTCACGAATAAGCCGTAAGGGCCCTTGTACAAAACTGCATCCCGAGCGGACACTCGCCGCAAACCTTTCGCTCGATACAGTGCACATCTGGGCCATATTGTGTGCACTCGCCCGCCGAAACAAGAACCGCATGCACGTCCTCACGTAGGATTATTATAATTTATTGTATGGTTTAATCATGGCCGCTGCCGCATGAACACCGCGGTGGATGCGCCATGCACGTATACCTTATGAGGACGGCGCACAATGAAGATCACGTGGTGAAGCGGGCACACCGGTAAGCCATCTCGTCCTCACCCTGCGGTTTGGGCTCACACGTCGTCTAGGTTGGCCGAGCTATTGTGCCATGATCTTGACATCTCTATCGTGCGCCCGAGGACGACACACTACACTGGACACCAGTATCCGCCAGGCATCGCTGCCTGGACATGCTCATGCCGCTAAGACAGGAGCAGTACCATAAAGCCGACAGAAGGCTGTACAGACTGGTTGAATGGGTACGCTCTTCATCCATTGGCTACACATCGGCGCTGACTGTCGTGGATGCTCAAGCCATAGCGCCGCATCGTAGCAGTGCCGAGGAAATATATTTCATCGTCAAGGTACTGCCAGACGCTCTGGGTGCGCTCGCTTCGACGGCACCGCGGCGCGAGGAAACACGCGGCCGGGATGCGAACGGCGCAAATGGCAATTTCGCGTTTCCTCGACGCGTACACGACCCTGAGCACCGCACTTGCGACACAAGCGTGTTGTCTACGGAACAAGCGGGCTACTCGCCCTCCATGTAAGTACTCGGTATCCTGCTCGCTGACTCTACCTCCCTGCTCCTCACGCACACGCCCATTCCCCGTCTCGCTGCCCTATCCTCCAACCTCCCGTTCCCTGGCATCCGCGCTCACACTCGACTCGAATATGGTCCGCGCGCCACGGCAGACCGATGCGCTCGGCGCAGACTACGCTACGAGGGCAGGACGTGAGCGAGGCATGCTCCGCATGGTTCTGACCGATGGCCTAGGTGAGCGCTGCGTCCCGCGCATTCACGTCTGTCGCTAATATTTGCGTCTTGTAGTCGAGTTCGTGGGCGACCCTTACGCCTTGATGTTCTTCGCTTCCGCGAAGTTCCGCGATGAGATCTTCCTCGCGTACGGCGCGAAACTCATCGGGTGGCCCGCCGACATCGAGTTCATCAACCCGAGCGACATGAAGAATCCGACCGCGAAGGTCCGCGCTCTGCTCGACGCGTGGGCGGACGGCACGATGCGGTGGGCGTGGGTGTCCCAGGACGAGTTCATCGCCGGGCTCTACGACATCCGCAGTGCGTGCCCTGGCCCGCACTTCCCGAACCCCATCCCCAAGGGCGGCCGGAACGACATTGGGAAGCGGCGCGCGCGGGCGTCGGATGCGGAGGCCGACAAGTACCCTCCGCGGTTCGTGCGCGACGGGCCGAAGAGCTTCAGGTTCGTGTCGGAGGAGATGGAGGAGGGGCTGTGGCCGGTGACGACATGGGCGAGCATCGGGATGATGTTGATCCGGCAGGGCGAGCGGGAGGACGTCGAGGACGTTGCGCGCGAGGCCTCAGCGTCGACTTCGCCCGCGGGGCAGCTGTACTGGCACGGCGAGCTGCCCGAGGACCCGATCGAGTCCTTCTGAGCTCGTGGACTAATTGCGCACTATTCCTGTTCGTTACGTTACGATTCCCTCGCATTGATTTCGCGCCTCGACGTCTTGTTCTCACTCGGCCTCTGTTGTCGCGCCCGCGTGTCCTGCGTGAACTACACGGTCCCGATATGGCAAGTGATATCTTGAACTCCGGCGGAGGCTTCCGCTCTTGTCCTCGCCCACGAGCTCTGTGTTGCTCGTGCCGCCACGAAACTTCGTCTGGACGTGTGCGAGTGTTCTGGCCCTCGTACGGCATGCTCGCGGCAATATTCGGAGCGATCAGAGCGGCGCAATGACCGTCCGCGCGCGGGATACGGGCGCTCCGCAAGGCGCCCATGCGCGCGCACCCCAGATGGCTCCGATTGACGAGATTTGCTGCAGAGAAATATATCTCGGGTACGCGACATCATTTATGGATGTATCCTTTGCCGTATCTACGATTTAGAATGGGTTTGAGGAGGAATACGAGGTCGGGGAGCATGCAAAGTGCTGCCCATCCATCTATTCCTCCCTAAGCCCATTCTCTTCTGGCTACTCTGCCAGAGCGTGCTCCCCCGGTGTGATAAATATGTAAGAGCAAGTTCCCTATTGAAAGGGATGTGTCAGTGAGTAATTGAGAATTTTGCGCCCATTCCAAGGGCCTGGGTCCATCAGTCTAAGCAGCCCACCCTCAGACCTTAGTTCACACAATATTCACATCTGATCTGCTCTCTAAATTTTAAGTCGCCGTCCCTGACATTATGACGGCTCCCTGGACTCGCTTACACTCACAGACGCTTACTGCCTGATTTACACAGGCTCCAGACTGCTCACACTACCTAGGGTACAGTACAGGTCTAGACTACATCCCCCCTCGTTCCCCCC